ACTGTAGAGGGTAGGAATTTTGAGTTTAGAAGATTTTATGTTGGTTTTTTAACATTAAAAAAAGGGTTTCTAGATAATTGTAGGAGAGTTTTTGGTTTTGATAGTGGTTTTTAAAAATTTTTTTGGGATGATGTTTACTAATTGCAATAGGATGGATGGCTAATGATTAGATGTTTCCCATCACGTATGTTGTTATCAATAATGAGAATGGAGAAAACTAGAGATGGTTTATGAATTTGATCACAGAGGATCTTGGAATCATTGATGAAAATTCTTAGATAGTCATCGGTGACCAACAAAAGACAAGTTTCAAATTTTATTTGTTTGACATTTGTTATTATTTTATTCATCTAAATTAATATCATGAATATGTTTTCAAGACCTAGAGAATTTTGTTCAAGGCACATCTATGCGAATTGAAAAAGAAAGCATAATGGTAAGTCTGTACAAGAAATTATTCTGAAAGGCATTAATGCTATGAACTTGATGGATTACAATCTCATATTAGACAAGTTAAAATATGTGGATAGGGTAGCGTTTGATGACTTTCTTAAAGTCGGGCCTTCAAAGTTTCACAAGGTATTCTTTAGGACCAATCGAAGTGTGATGCATCCACAAACAATATCTCTAAATCATTTAATAGTATAATATGCAAGGCTAGAGCAAAGTCATTGATAGATATGTTGAAAGATATTACAACCTATTTGATGGAAAATATGTACACAAAAAGTCAATTAATGGAGTCTCTCGGTGATGAAATTTATCGTAAGATAAGACGAAAGTTGGAAAAAATTAAACTTGAATCATGTGCATCTAGGATAGCACCAACTATTGGTGATAGATTTCAAGTTAGATTTACTAAAGACACATATATTATTAATTTAAATGAGAATTCATGCAGCGGTAAGGCATAGGATGTCACCGTATTCCATGCAAGCATCTTGTAACAAGCATTACATTCATGAAGGGCGAGCTTGTAGATTATATTGTTGATTGTTTCAAGTGATAATCAAATGTTATATTCAAATGGCTTTGACCCGTTGAATGGGTTCAATATATGGCCTAGTATTGAAGGTAGTGATGTGCTGGCTCCTTCTTACAAGAAAATTCCAAGAAGGTCGAAGCAAAAAAAAAATGAATAAGCACAAGGTGAAGAAATACAAAATACAAGCAAAACATCCAAGGTTGGAGCCTAAATATAATGTCAAATATGTTATGCTTATGGCCATAACAAGAGAACATGCAAAAATAAGGGCAAGAGGACTCAAACCTAGCATTTGTCGATTTAATTACAAGAATAAGCTACATTTTTTTAGTAATGTTTTTTTTTTTTTTTTTTTTTTTTTTTTTTTTATATTGATTAGCTAAATAAGTTTAACAAACTTATGTGGGCTTACCTAGAAAAGGTTTTATTTTTATGGCTGATTTTGGTTTTTTTAGTTGTTTGTTATTTCTCTTTTTAACTCGTTTTGGTTCTATTTTTGCTTCGTTTTTTTTTTTTTCGCATGCCTTTTACAAGAATGTTAAGAATATTACAACATGATAATTGGTGAGTAAATTTCAAAATATAAAATCAATGCAGTTGTGTTTGAAACTCTTATGCTTGGCACCCAACCACCAACATTTCATGGTCGAGAAGAAACGAATATTGTAGTTTATAAGACAAATTTTGAAGAAGTTAGCTTTAAGAAAGTGTTTTTTGAAAAATGAAATGGACTATATAAACAAGGAAATCCTATCTTTTAGGCATTGGCATTTCGACAATCAATGTTTGAGATTGTAAAACATTTTTCTAGGTTATAGGAGAATTCGATTGTTAACTTATTGTTCTTGCATGTTTTTTTCTATTTATCATTTGTAGCTATATTTTTTCTTCATAAACTCTCATTTCATAATCCCTTCAAATTTTGAAGATGCATTCATATGCTTTCACACTTGATATTAGCATAAAAGTTAAGTTGTCATGCCATTTTGCATTGAATTTCATTATATAAAATCTTCAAATATTATTCTCGATAGGATTGAAATTGTTTTTCAATAATGAGAAGGAGTTGATTATGGAACCATGCATGAAATGGGTTGGAAATCCTAATGTCACTGTTGCTTGGTAAAGCATTTTGGTTGAAAGTAATTACTTAGGTAATTGGATTCCTATTTCGAATGAAATCGTTTTGTTATTGACTTGGATATAAGAAATTCTATTTTCTTACTCATTGGATAATTTTAGGTAATTGCATGTGCTCTTTTCATGTGTTAATTACATTAGTCAATTGTTAAATGGTTAGACAAAAGCTTGATTTCTTTTCAAGAGAATATTGTTATCATCATCATCATCATTATTATTATGTTGCTTTTCTCAGCTAGAATTTTCCCGACAATGTTTTGAAATACATAGGATTTGAAAAGATAATATTGATTAAAACATTTTTTGTTTTGTTTTAAGAATTCAAGAATATTTGAAGTTCATACATATGTCTCCAATAATTTGGCCAAGATGCTAATGTGACAATACTTGGTGTGATCTTAAGTATAGTCCGGGCATAGAAAAGTGCAAACTCTACATCAAGCTATAACTCGGTTTGTCATTTGGTAAGTATAAGTTATACAAATTTATTTGTTCTCACTTTTTAAAGTGTTGTAGATATGTAATGGAAGGTGAGTTAATTAGACTCTCATGCTGAAATCCGAATCTCGTTGAAATAAAGCCTAATTATATTACTAAAGTTCTCCTAAGTATTGTTGGTAGTGCTTGTCATCTTTTCTAGGTGTATCCGATTTTTTCAAAGAATGTTATGTTTGACCAGTTCCTCATCTCCTGTGTTATATTGTGGTTGTATAGAATATGTTAGTTAGTTAGTTAGTTAGTCATAGTAAATAGGAAAAGAGAAGAGAAGAAATGGAAGTAAGAGATGTTAATAATACATCATTTGGCCATTTTACTCTTTCTATTTGGGTTGTTTTCTTTCTTAAGTTGATCCCATTATATTGCCTTCATTCTTTGATATATTTTTATTTAATAATTATCTTTCTTTTTATTTTTCTTTTTAGTTGAATTAAACTTAGTTGCAACCAAAAATATTTGATTAAGACAATCTTATTTCTTGATTTTTGTTGTTTCTCATAGATTCTTTCATTTTTCACTTCTTTTTTTATTATCGAAGGTTCATGAGAGAGATGTTATGAAATTGAGTAGGAAATTGCAATTTCAAGGAAGAAGACAAGCTATCACAAAAAGGATAATTTTTCTTTTCTTAATTGTCCTTTTTCTTATAGTTAATTTCATTTGTTTTTTTTTCTCTTTTTGATTTAATGGTTATTTCTTTGTACCCTTCAATTGGGTTTATCGAAACTTGAATCTTAGTAATAATAGTTCTGTTTTATTTCTAGGCATGGACTTGCATCTACAAGTTAATTCTTTAATGTCAAAATTAGAAAGGCAAATTTATTGCTTTTAGGTTTTCTTTATGATTCAAAATGCAAATGAATATATGGTTTGCACTTTTTTCTTTTCTTTTGAAGTTCAAAGAGGGCATATGGATATGCTTTTTTGTACTTTTTATTGGTCTGTTTTTCTTCTTTACCGGGAAGGAAGTTAGACCGAGGTTCTTGATTTGATTCCACTTTTGCTGGTCTATTCTTCTTTTTACCAAGAAGGAAGCTAGATTGAGGTTCTTGATTTGATTCCTTATGAAGAAACTATAGTAGCGTAATGCTTTATTGCTTTCTATTTGATCTTTTTATTCTTTCTTAGCCATCGGGTTCTTACTAACTCACTTTGAAATAGTGCAATGGTGGAACCATGCTATTGAAAAGATATGGCCTATATGCAGGGAACAAATTGCATCTTAGAAGATTATGTTTTCCCATTATACCTTAGTTCATGAGAAAGTATAAACCATGGACCGTCATATGAATCTACTTTTCTATTACCCTCCATATGTCTATTATGTACTTCTTATTGATTTTTACTAGCTTAAATTGACCTTTTGTTTGAAATTTTTTTTTGTAAAGAAACCGAAACAAAATGGTGTTCGACTTTAGCCAAGCCTCTTTTTTGGCATTTGGTTATAGTTTTTTTCATTTTCATCCCATTTTTTTACCTTGATTTTGTTTTAGTCCTTAAAGTATTATCATGTACAATATTTCAATATATATTTTATTCTATATTATTTTTTTAATCAATTATATATGTGGCAGTGATTGTGTTTTCTAATTTTTTTTTCACAAAGTTAAAAAATTGACTTACCTATGTTGTGGATGGAAATTAACCATGCCACATCTTCGGGTAACATGCACAATTAATAGATATCTATTTACACTTGATTATGTAGTTCATGAAAGTTTAAAACCTATTCGGACAAAATTAAAATTTAAACAATTATTTACTTTCTCAATATTTTTATCTTGATGAATATTGTGCTTTTAGATTTATTGTGAAAAATGGTCAAAATATCAAAAAGAGAGAGAGAGAGAGAGAGAGAGAGAGAGAGAGAGAGAGAGAGAGACTAATAGGATCGGATGAATCAAATCAAAACGAGCATGATGACTTTTCTCTTATTATTTCCACTTATCAAAACAAAAAATTCCAGGCAAGAGAGAGAAAAACAAAGATCTCAAATGTTAAACATAAATTTTCTTTTAAGATGATAGGATATATTAATAATTCCTTTTTCAAAAATGGTTTTTCATTATTATCTCTATTTCGATATAGTTGTACGTATCCGATGTTAGCAATTGTATGTACATGATGTTAGCAACGCACCAAGATAAACTTTTGTAGTTTATGAGAAAATTTTAGAATAAATTTACTTCTTAACATTTCTTTAAACTTACCCTAACTTTTTTACAACTTGCCAAAAAATGGCTATATGTTTAGAACTTTCAAAAAAATTGCATACAAAGTTCAATTTTTTCATTGTGATGAGATTTTCTTAATTATCCTATTACTTGAGATAAACTATTGTAAGTCTTCAATACTAGATCAAAGCATGATATGATTGTCACCTGCATGAAAGTAGCAACCCAAAAAAAAATCATTGAAAAATTTAAGAAAAGGTTGCTAGGAAAACTTTTTTAAAAAAATAAACTAACATAAAGACAACATTTGACATTATTTGCATGAGCATCCTTTCTTATTATTGTTTGATAAACTATCAAACTAAACCCTTTTATTTTTCATTATCATAAAGCTAATTTATCTAAAAGTTTACAAGTAATTTCTTTTAATATTATTTTTAACCGTTTTAGCACCACTATTATATATATGAACACATAACTAGAAATAGGTTTTACAGGTTTAATTTCTCATTCTCTTTAAGATCTTTTCATTTATTTTGTACATGCGATATTTTTTAAAATTTGTTTAATTTTTACCAATGTTGTGCAATTTCATGCTTTAACTTTATTTAATAATTGGATAGGTGATGCTTCCTAGTGATGAAAGAACCTTTTTGAGTAATGATTTATATCTTCTAAAGATGATGGACTTTAAGAAAAAAATAAATATAGCTTAAGCAAAAAACAAAATATGTCACAAAAATTAGTTAAGAAGTGCAGTAGCGAGGTGTAGACCCCGATATACTAATAATATTTGTTTGTTTTATACTCTTGCATCCTCAACCACTTCCACCTTGAAATATCAATCGGGTCCCAAACTTTTTGATTTAATCAATTACGTTATAAATATACTTGGACATCTATTAGACAATGTCACTTTTCAATTGACTCAATGTTAGTAATAGTTAAATATTTTGCCCAATTCATATGTAGTTGTTAAGTTTTTTCGTGAAAAGGCTAACATAAACTCCAATATAATATTTGTGTTTGTACCGTATGAGTGCATTTTAGTATAGGTTGTGTATTGCAACTTATGTGTTTATCGTATAGACTAAGAATTGTGTGAAATTTATTTGATAACTTAATTTTGTGAGTCAATACTAATTGAATTATTATCGATGACACACACACACACACACACATAAAAGAAAATTAATTCTTATTGGGTCGTGCTACATTATAAGCGAGGAAAGGGTGAAGGAAGTGCTAAAAAATTGACATTAACATTAATTTATAATAGTTCTTTCAATATATGCCAACTTTAGAGAATTTCATAACATAAAGATATTAGATAAGGATGGTACATGGTTTTTTTTTAAAAAATAAACATAATAGGAGAAATAACACACTAAAATGAGGATGTTATATGGCTTAGATATAACACTTGACCAACCTACTTAATCTTCTCTCCATTCTAACTACATCAACCATAAACAATCCAAGTAACTCCGTGTTCGGTTCCAATTTACGGGACATGGAAAGTACTAACATTTAAAAAATATATATATTATTTCAAACGGGTATGGCACTCTATCACTCCTTTAATCCTTCTTAACTTAGGCACACAAGGTTGTTATTTCAAGTTTTTGATCCTTAAATAATGTCATAGACTCGGTTTTGAGGGTTAATAGCTTGAATAACTTCTTGGTTTAGGAATCATATTTGTGGGTTAGTAAAGTGAGTTAGGATTGTGACAAAAGTTATATAATTTTTTTAAAAAAATTAAAACAAAACCTTAAGTTATCATGTGTTATACTATAGGCACACATTCATTATGACTATATATAGTTTTAAAAATTAATCTTCTCATCAATATTAAATAAAATAAAATAAAAATTCGATAGAATATATATATATATTCTGATTGCATGTTTTTGAATTTTGGAGAAAATTTTTAATTTACATTATTTTAGACTTTTATTTTAAAATTATTGAATAAAAAAATGAATCATGTTTTTTTGAGTTGGAAAATTGTGAAAAAAAAAATTTTGCACTTCATCAAAAGCGTTATAATATTGATAATTTCAAAACATTGCTTTTGATACGTGAAGAGATCTATTGATAAAAAAATTATGTTTCGCAACTCGCATCTCATAACATCGATTACTACAACAAAATAAGTTGGTACCGATGAATTTATCAATTGTAAATTAATTCATTTAAAATTCATTCATAAATACTATCTTATTTTATAATGTCATTTATTGATATCGTAACTCTAGGCCTATCTAATCATATTAGGCTCGCAACGAAGCACGGGTCACAAACTAGCTAAAAACTAAAACAAAATGCCATTTCATTCTATGCTTCACTATTCACCAATACTGTTTTTCCTATACATTTTATTGTTCTCTTTAGACATTTTATTGCGAGTGCTCTTTTGTTTTCTTCATACATTTTATTGCGGTGTTATTTCACGACCTCCTGTGTTTGTGTATTTTTTGTTGTGCCATTGGGTGGATCTATGCAATTACATTGTTGCCTCTCTAGTGCTCCCTTCTTATCTTTGATTTCTACGTGTTAAAAGTCGGGGTGGGTTTGACTTTTTATGTTTTTTTGGTGGGGTAGTCTTTTTTACCCTTTGGTTTTCTTTTTTATTTTTACTTTTCCAATTTGTTGTTTCGTTGCTCAAGTGTTTTTTCATCATTTTGTATCCTTTTTTTTGTAATGCATTTCAATAGTGTTGCACGGGAGGTCTTTTGTGGGTTTCTCTCTCTTTATTTTTTTGATCTTTTTTGTTGGTTGTCTTGTCGGTTTTCTTCGAATTTACTTTCACTGTAGGTGAATTTTTTTTTGTAATTTTCATTTTTTTCCCCGGTTGTCGTGTCAATTGTGAGACGAGGTTGTTGTTATTGATGGCTCTAGGCTAATTTGTGATCATCCCATCGGAATTAAAAAAAAAAAAAGGATAAGGATCTTTTATAATAACTAATTTTTATAAAGCCACTCGGCATTTTTAATTAACACTTATAGTTTTTTAAAATTCTTAATTTGGTTTTTTCAAATTTTTATCTAACAATCAATATATCGACAAGAATCATGTTTCTTTTGAATATATATATATATATATATATATATAACCATAATCATAGTTTGCTCACATAATAAAAATTTGACTTCCAAATTTAGAATTTTCTTATAACTTATTGACACATTTCAAAACAAAGTAATCGGTTATGATTTTAAAAACTATTTACATGTAGATTTACAAATTTTTCTACATTTTTCAAATTAAACCATTCAAAAACTCATCTTCCATTTTCCTGTTGATTTTAAAAAATTTGACGATTAAATTTTTTATTCATATTATTATATTTTTTTATTAAAAAAAATTACAACAATAGCAACAAAAAAATCATATTTCCTTTCGATATAAAATTTATAAAATACATAAACATCAATTATTTACATAATAAAAATTTTGTTTTTGATTTCAAACATTCTTTCAAATTACTCACAAAACATTAATTTGAAGACAAAGAATTTATAAACAAACGGACATTAACTACTATCTTGTGATTGTCTCTATAGTTTTTTCTCTTTTTCTACTAAAACTCTTATCCTACAATATTTATAATATTATATTTTACATATTTCAGTATTTTTTATCACACCAACTTGCTCTACCTTCTTAACTTTACAAGATCTAACCCTTTTATTAAAAAAAAAAAAAAACAACGAATCAAATTTCTATGACAAAAAAAAAAAAAAAAGATTTCTAAAAAAACAACAACAATAATTGATCTTCGATAACTCCAGCTCAAACCATTTCATAAATATACATCTATATACCAAAAGCATATGATATAAAAATATAATAATATCAATAATACCCAAAAAAAAAAATTATCTTTGACTTAAAAAAAAATTCTTTCAAAGCAACATAAATTTCCAACTGCTTCCATCATCAAACAACAATCCTCCGTAATCCATCATCAAATGGCAATCCACCCATAGCGAAGCACAGGCCTCCATCTAGTTATAAATCTATAAAATTTAGTTCAAAAGCATTTTTTTTATTGGCTAAATAAAATCTATGTTTAGAAAATAGATTAATTAGAATACAATTGGTAAATAGAAAGGGACATAACTTCATATGTCTTCACCTTTATATATGTATATATGTATATGTATATGTTTTTAAGATAATAAACAAGGTGCAGTAATTATTTATTGAAAAAGGAATATTCCAAAAACTTATTAATGAATTCATTTTTGAACGCTAATTACAGATGAGTTTGTAATTTAAACGATATGTGGAGTCGGATTATCACTGTTGTGGATACATAAGTAATCTCACGGTTTAAAAACAAAACAAATGCTAACAGTGCCTAAAAATTGGGATTGGTATAGTAACTTTTAACTTTTTTCAATCCAATCTAATTAGCCTCTTGAAATTGATACGTGTTAGTCACTCGATTAGGAAACTATTCAAAAACTGGTAATGATTCTTCTTTATCTTTTTAATTATTTTTGGTTTTCAGTTTTTTGTTGCAAGAGGAGCATAAAGCCCAAAAACAAGAAAAAAAACATACTAACATGATTCTTCTTTGTTGATGTCTGGTTTACTATACAGGAACAACAAAAAGTAAAAGCAATTTCTTAATAAAAGCTTCACTTCTTCCCCAATTAATCAACCTTATCCTAACTTTTTTCACTGTGAGAACTTTGGTTAGGCCTTTGATCTTTTCTCAAGTTTTTCTTTTTTGAATAGAAAGGATCACATATCATTAATTAAATCCAAAATGGGTAGTACAATACAAAGCACTATATCATACAGCATAATGTCATGTTCACACGTGGTAAACTTGCAAAAAAAAAAAAAATAAAGAGATGTTGTTGGAAAAAAAAAATAGATGAGTTAAGATTTGCAAATAAAAAACTTGTGGGACGATTACTATTTACTAATGCTCTTGTAGTTTCAGATGCTCAACATAAACAAGATTTGTTATATATATATATATATATATATTAGAAAATAATATAAAATTATTATTGAAAATCTCATTCAACAGTTTAAAAATTTAAATAATAATTAAAAAAAAAAAAAAGATTTGGTTAGGCCTTTGATCTATTCTTACACAAGATTTGTACTGTACAATTCTTTTTTAAACTTTTGGGTCTTTTCTCATCTTTATTTTATAAAAAACTAACTGCAGAGTACATTAAAAGCTTTCGCCTAAACAGCAATGTCTCTTTTCCATCATCGATCAATCAAATACATATCCTTCTCTCTTTTTCCATCACACTGACCCAAACCGAATAAATTCATGCCATATTTTGGAAGCCTTGGCATTATTTTTCTTGAAATTACCACTCGGCTAGCTAGTTTTGCACGCAAGCCTGCTTTGCAACATCAATTTTTACTTGCAGAGACAGCCAGCTTTAGTGGTTGCTTTTGATAATTATTATATATAATAATGTTATAAAGTATTGAATCAAGCTTAATTAACATACATACATACATATATATATTCCTTTATGAAGAGATGTGCATATATATATATATATATATATATATATGCACATCTCTTCATAAAGGAATATATATATATATAGTATATATACGCTTGGATTAGTAATTATATATGGGGGAGATGTAGGGTGGTGTGTGGTCAGTGGTGGTGTTGAACTTGGTGATTGAACAGATCAAGAGAAGAGAAAGAAACCCTTTTGTCTGCACTCTTAACATGGAGGTCCAAGCACTATCACAAAGGCGATAAAGGGCTACACGACATCCACGCTAGACGCTCCCTCGAGAGCAGTAGTCACTCCCATCCTTCCCTTTCAGTTTCTTTTCATGGCATCCAAAGAAGGTAATGTGAGTTGGAAAGCCAAAGCCCCGGGCATCCCTTTCTTTTTTATTTTTGCCTCTCCATTATAAGTAATATTCAACTATAGAATCATGAACTAGCCAGTAGTGCTTGCTAGTTACAATAATAATATTCATTCTACATACAAGAGGAGTAACATTATTTATACACGGTTATCATTGCCAACTTGAACTCTTAATTTGTTTTCTATGTATTAGAGTTTCACTCCATGTAAACACAGGAGGGAAATACTCTGATACGAACATCAGTATACGTATAGTACCTGTACTAATAAGGTCAGTAGAGAAATATATTAATCACTACTATTAAAGAGACAAAATGTGAATTTTTCAAGGTACAAGGTGGCATGATATTTGATATCAGATATTCCTTTCTTTTTAGCTTCTCTTTTTTAACTAAAGTATGACACAGGATGGGGACTTTTGAGTACCCTATGGACTAGAGAGTAGAGATTGGTGCTGTCTTGCATTCAGCATAAAATCACAAAAACTATATCTGAAAATATATTGCGTGCATCATTCCATCTTTTGAACTCTTTAGTTCCCAATGGGCCTATAAACCTTTTACAGCAACCCCACGAGGCACGGTGTTACAAATAAAATCATCTTCAAAAGCTGAATTTTTTAGGGTCCTCCATTTTTGTCATGCCCACAGAATAAAGTTAAAATTTCCCTAGGAAAAAAAAAAGGAGTAGGTAAAGAGTAAGATTCTGCTCCCTACACCCCCATAAGCCCACCTTTCATTGGGAGGGATAGAGAATTTTTGGCTTTTGGTTTATACTTAGGATTCCTCACTTTAAACACCAATTTTTGTTTTTTTGTTTTTTTTTTTAAATAAGCAAAGAAAGAAAAGTGGGTGTGTGAGAATGACCAATGCTGGTACTTTAGCTAGAGGGCCTGAAGTGTAACTCTCATGCATATATGTTGGACCCAATGAGGTAACCGTTGTGCGTTGGCTACGTGCTCCTCTAGAAACACATTTTAGGTCCAGTTATTTGAGTTGGATGATATGTCATCCTCTCATTGGTGTAAAGTGTGCTTGCCTCTCATGATTGTTACTAGTTATCACTACTGAATAGCATTCAGTCTTTTGATATACGCTGTTATAGGTGAATTATTATAGCTAGAATTACTAATAAATCAACAAACACAACCTCACATGGCATAAAATATGTGGCATGATGGTGGATAATGGTGGGAGCCAACTTGCTAACAAAATCCAAATTCTTGTAAGTTCAACTTTTTTTCTTATCAAATAAAGAAGCCCTCAGGTCACCGTCGTCCCCAAATGTCCTGATTGCACAATCGCTTGTTCGATCATACTCTTGGGCTTCCAATATTAGCCACTTATTATGGTTTTTCATTAGCAACAAGTGTGTGTGTGTCTATATATATATATATATATATATATATAGACACACATATATATGCTTGTGTTATGTTTTTTCATTCGCAACAAGTTATGTTTATAATGTTGATCTATTTTGAAAAAAGGAATTATTGGATATAGAATCTGTAAATTAAGATTACTTGTTTTATATATATATATATATAGGTCATGCGGACGCAATTATGGACACGCCTAGTCCGGGTTTTGTTATATTTTGCATTTTTGTGTGATTGCGTTCCATGGACCTCAGCTTGTCATATTGCTTGTCTGTATGATTAATCTGTGCTTTTGTCCCTAATCATCCAAGCCCGCGGGGTCTTTATTATTGTTTAAATAATAATTGCCACCAAACCAGACCTTCAGTTTGTTTAAATTGAACTTGTGGTTGGGAAGATTAAAAGATGCAAATTTTTATAGGTAACATATATAGTCCAAATCTCCATGGCTCCCACCGAGCTTGGTCTAATGAGGAAACGCCACATTACATAAATTGGTTAGTGAGCCACTGCCATAGCCATACATACTGCTAACATTTAATAGATTCAAGATATTAAATCACCAAGTTGATTCCGACATACACTATGGCCTCTGGGATCCACGTCGCTGGAGCAAACTATTTATAAGTCCTCGTGCAAAGAGATGAAATATATTAATTCTATATGAACTGATTTTTCCTTGGTGTTGTTCATTCAAATATCTCATGCCCCCAAACACCAAATTTTATACCAGTCGATCGGATGGTCCTGATGACTGCCCATGATCGGAGGCATAAATGGTGGTCCGAGGTAATTCTAAAAGGAGCTGCCAAAATTGTACTGACTAAGGATTGTCAACATGCATATATGTTGCTAGCTATTATCTCTTCTCTGTGGTCCAATATTAAAGCAGAAATTTGATGTGAATGTGTGTGATTTTAGGAGATTGAGATAGAGGATGCTTCATCGAATCAACGATCAATGATATGGATCACAAATTGATGAGATAAAAAGCTATTATGAAAAATTGGGTACCTCCTATGTTGCATGGTTACCTTTAAAAAAACAAAAACAAAAAATAAAAGAAGGGCCATTGTACATGTTATTATTGAGTACATGCAAAAGATAATATATATACCTTGTGTCGGAAATCAGGGGCTAAATGACAACCTTCTTGCGGCCTTTTCTATTTGTATTAACGTAGAAGTTGCAAGTATGTTTAAAGGAAAAAGGAGCTTTTAAGGTCTTGGCCTTTTCCCACGTACAATATATGGTCATCAGTATACACGCACGCTCAAAACTTGTACCGCGTTATATGTGTGTATATATATATAGACACGCACACTTTAACATCATCGAACCCTAGCTAATTAGCTTGCAATTTCTTATGATCAGCAATTCGAAGTGGTAATAAATGGGATGGGCATAACAACAGGACTTGCGCAAACATTTAATTGTAAAATAGCCACGAAATATTGGTCCAATGGGCATTTACATATAGCTAAAGATTAAGAGTCATATTCATGACAGCAATCGATTGTATTACTTGCGGGACCAATCCGTCGCTTCAATCTGCTAGGCCCTTCACTGCACGGTGCAAGGGCTCACTAAATTCCATACCTGTTCTTAAAAGTTATTGTACAGTAATAAAAACAAATCACAAAGCTACAAAGTTACGATTGTCAATCACATGCCATGCACAGAGAGGAGAGAGAGCGAGGAATATCAAAAAAAAAAAAAGGATTATTATATTGATCAAAATCGGATACAAACACGCATGAAAGGCCCCAAAGACCTTTTGTATTGTCGAGCCAAAACTTAGGCCCTCAAAAGAGGTTTTTTTCCCCTCTGAAAAAACAAAAAACAAAAATACAAAAAAAATTTACTCACGTATAACCACCACACGCGTAGCCAAAGTCTATACGGTATAGTTAGGCCAAGGTGGATCGAAGCCATCGGATTAAGAGGCAATTCCCGCCAAAAAAGCACACACACACACTGGTATAGCATGCACATAGCTAGAGCATGGGCACACAAACCGCTCTCTGAAAGTCTATAAACATATCAACATGCGTCGGAAGTCATGTTATTCGTTCTATGCCAAGCCATCAAAAGAAACGCACACATGTCTCCTTGTAGCAATCATGGTGACCAAGATGAGAAGCTCTACTTACTCATATCCCTCCCATGATCGAGAGCTCAAATTTCAAAGTTTGCCAACCCATTCGATTTTCCTTTGCCTCCTTTTTCGCGAAGCCTAATACGAGGGTCCCTCCGTCTCCCTCCCTTTCATTCAACAATCGATGCTGTCATTGAATTTTAGCACCCCACTTCTTCACTCTATATATACTATTCTCTTCTTTTCTTTCTTTCCTTCACTTTCTCACACAAAAATATTTAATGTGACGAATTCCCTTCCCTTGGGAATCTGCAATGCCATTGATAATGAATGGCAAAGCCCACTGAAAAAAATAAAAAAATCTCCAAACCAAACCCTCTCACTCATACGTATATACACACTAAATAATCTACATCACTCAAGTCAATTCTCTCTCCAAACCCTCGAAGAAAATGTTTGAGGATTTTAGATAGGTCGGACCACCTTTCTTTTATTTTATTTCCCCCTTCCTTTAATCCCGTCGTTATTGCTCTCTCTCCTCACTCGGAATTTCCTTTGTCATCGTCTACCCACAAGCAGTTATTTAATTTTCTCCTTTTATTGTAAGATGATGACGAAGAAGAGGACGACGAGTCACTGCCACTGGACCTCATTCTGGCCCGAATTGTTACTCGAAGTTGAGGTAGTAAGACTTTTGTGGATTTCCGCCGGCTGTTGTCAAGCAGTGCAAGGTCTTGCATCAGCCGGTAGCAGCTGGTGATTTTGTCCTGCAAAAAATTTGATATGTTTGGAAGTTGGGATACTAGTTTGTACTTGTTAAAAAACTATGGATTGCCAAACCGCAATCATAATCATGAATCGCTTGTACTCTTCATATTAATTCTTACTTTGCTTAGCCCATCACACCAAGATTCAGCATGTTCAGGATTAACGAGAGACAAGTTTGGAATGTCATTGGCTGCACAAAGTATCGCTGCTGCAGCAATGCTTGATGGCCAATACTCAAGAAAGCTCGCCTCTGCTCGCATTATAATAAATAAATAAGGATTATTCAGCATACGTACGCAAACGTATAAAATGTCTGTGACGTGGTCACGCATACATCAACGCATTTGGATTAATTACCTTTGATATTGGATAAAATGATTTCCGTAGCCCTTGAAATGAGAAACCCAATATAAGCTCCTGTTGGATCGAGCTTGCATGCAAAGAAACCTGTAAAACTAAATGGTGTTATGGATCTTAGCCTCCAATCTAAAACGGTGAGAACCAGGAGTTCCATCCTGCGAATTGTTCTTGGTTCAAAGATATATTTGGCACCTTCAACCTACAAATCAGTATAATCCACATCGCTTAATCCAGGACTTAATTATACAGCCTCATGAGTCATAATTAAAGATTAATCATATCGTAGATGATCAGGCAAGCAAATACCTGGAGATCCAATAGAGAAGGAACCAGAGGTTCCTCCATTTTAGCAGCTAATGATAAGCAAGCAACAGATAAGAGTTGCAATGGCCACCCGTCTGTTCGCTGAAATGATACAGTAAAAGCAACAAAATAAGAGGAAAAAAAAAAAGAGTTAAACATCATCGTAAATAATGCATTTAATAATCATCGTTCAAAAAAAAAAAATCGATAATAATGATGATGAATGTTTAATTATTATCCAATGGCTATTTATTCATAGAGCTATAATTTATGATTACATTTTAAAAGCAAATAGACACACATGTTCCACGTACGGACAAAGTGCGATAAAGTCTAAAAACAGAATAATGTATCGAGTACAAAACTTTATAAGAGCATAATAATAGATACAGAAACAAAGTTATACAGTGTATAAATAGTTTAAATACAAAGGCAAATTAATCCTTAACAATATAATAAATCACAATAATTGTCGGTTCATGTTTCCAAAACGGGCTTATATTCCCTTTAAAAAACACAACTTCCTCACTCCAGTCTGTCCATAAATACCGTCACGGCCTCTGTAGTTTTCTTCGGAGGGTACTCGCGTCCTTTTCAATGTTTGAAAAGTCAAATATATTTACCTCCATTGCCAATCCTCCATAGTCAAAATCGTTAACTTTTAAGTCCCTAATTTATCATATATGTATATTTATTTTTTTATTACACTACTACCGTAACAAAGTTTAACAAGAGATTACCTGCAATCGGCGAGAATAGAGGAAACGATCCAAGTAGTTGACGGAGAGATACGCCGTTAATGGCTGGAATCCATAGTATGCTTGCACCTGCGGTTGATAAATGGTAAAAAAGATGTTATGGAATTAATCTATCGCGTGCTGACAATCATAATTCAAAACAGTGCATCTAACGGTTGATAAATGACTAGTCACTTGTACTGAGGAGCTCGACGGCGCAGATCTCTTTAAAGAAGTTGTTAAGTATGATATGGCGGCTTTATGGTAGTAAAATATCAGAAAAATATTGAGTTTTTTCTTTTTTCTCACCTTGAGAATCCATGCAACAGATTCTTCTCGAGCCGAAGCATCGAGAGATTGAGATTGAAAACGAGACAAGTAATCGAAACCAGGCACGAAATTCCTTTCATCTTCTATGAAACTGGCAATGGATGACTCTTCTACAAAGTCGTGAGATTCGAGGTCCGACGAGCATCCCCGCGAATCGCCGGAGAATATATCGGAGGAGTCCTCGCCGCAGAGAAGGTCTGATAAGCAATCAGAGTAAGGCATCGCAGCCACTGATGATAGTTTCTCATTATGTTCTCATCTCGCCGGAATGATCGCCGGATATTCCGCTTGGAACTGATCGGAATGCTCTTGGGCAGTGAAGGGCTCAGCTAACGAGGCTTTGAAAGTTGTACTAGTAGAGACTAGAGAGATGGAGAAGGAATGTCAATCAGTCTGTTTGGTATTATAGCCATATAAATAAATATCAAGGGATGCTATTAATTTTTTTTATTATTTATTTTTATATATTTTGGAACGGAAGTAAGTTAATGAAAGAAACGGGAGAAGGAGAGAGAGTGTGTGGGTAGATTGGGTTTATTTGTTTTACCGGGAAAATTGAATTTCCATTTCAAGACGGAAGTGAGGTGATATAGCGCAGCCCTCGGTGGGTGGCATATGGTTTCTTATTGCTTACTCCTGCCGAGCCTCTACTAAGTCTTTTTTTTTTTTTTTTAATGATAGTAAGGTCACATCTATTGTTAATCCTTCCAGTTTTTAACCATATTATTCACACTCAAACTTATGTATTTCCAAAAAAAATATGTTTTTATATGATCTATTATAGCATTTGGCTAGTGATGTGGAGGGCAGGCTTACTATCACCATTTACTAATTGGTCAAGCCTCAATGAGTGCTCCTAAGCATTTACTAGCCAATGAAATGCAAGTTAGGTTTTAAGAATGACGGCTTGATCGTTTTACCTTCACTGGCCTTCTGGAACTTCTTTGTCAAATCTAGCTGTGTCATGCGGTAAATAATCTTGTACTACGTAGATTCTACTGATTTTTGCATTTTAAACTTCTAAGTAATTTTTTATTTTACCAAGACAGAAAAGTAATAAAATTATTTCGCGTGTTAAAATTGGTTTTCTTTTAATTCAATTAAGGGTATATACGGATTAATTTTTAAATCAATTGAAACCATTTTTCTTTTTAAAATGATCTAGAAAGTATATCCTTTTGAGTTTAATGTATTCAAAAGAATTTAATTAATAAATTATTCTGATGTTGGCTCTAAAATTTGAATTCAAAGAATAAGAGAATAGAATAATTTTTTTTAACCATCAAATAACTGTTTGTAGTTTTTTTCCTATAATAATACACGAGGGTAAATTATAAATTTGTTTCTCTAGATTTAAAAATTAATTAATAAGTCCCTTAATCAATATTATCCGTGCTTGATTTAAATGATTTTTTTAAAAAAATATATATTATTTTTTCATCAATCATTTTATAATTTTATTTTTTATTTTTTAACATTTTGTTTTTAGTCGTGGGTCCTATTAACATATGAAATTTAATTCATTTTATTTGTAGTTCAATTTTGTGATATTCGACTAAAAATAAAATCAAAATGTGTTGGGCTATTTCAAGAACGTTATGAAGATTGTTATCATTATTTTGATTAATACAAACGGCAAGTCATAAACTATGCTTTAGAAAGAATATATATATATATATATATAAAGTACTGCTAAATTTATCAATGAAAAATTTTGAAATATTCAATATGTTTTTTTATCATATTTTTTTACCAAAAAAACAAAATGCCATTTACTAAAAAGCAAGAAAATGAAAAAAAAAGCCTAAAGTTACATAAATTACATGTTCTATTATTGAACTTTTTAAAATTTTATTATTATTATTTTGCATTTCAATTAAAAGTATTTCGGTAAAAAAAATTATTTGACTAGAAAAAATAATAGGAATGATAGATTAGATATTTAAAACACTTTCATGAATAAATGTGATGCAATTAAAAATCTTGAGATATATAAAAAAATCTTGAGTATTATATAAAAATATATAGATATATTTATCCTATAAACTAAAAGTAAAAAAGCCACACAACATCAATGTTTTATGATGTTATATTGTTCATAATTATATTTGAAAAATACTTGTTTTTCATTTGGAATCCATTGCGAAAGGAAAATGTGTAAAACACAAAAAATATATTTTACAAATTTGGTATAACTTTTAAAAACTTAAAAACTTTTTTCTAATTTCACGGATGGAAAAGTATTGTAATGAACTGTAGATCCTTGATTGTATGAATGGTTGGATGAACTTTTTTTTTTTTTAATCTTGCAATAGTGATGTATCTTTGTGTTGGAGTCTTGACGTAGATATTTGTAAAATAAAATCCTATTTTTGAGTTTTTGATGATCTTTCAATGATCAAGTTAATGTACATAGATGTCTGAATATTTAGTAATATATCTTTTGCATGTAGTTCTTGAATAGATTTGTTATTAATGGAGAAGATATACCATGATAATTTCATACGGGATACTCGTTAAATTCACCAATCAAATAGTTATTTTCGTCAATTTTTTTTTAAAAAAATTTATCAATATATCCTTCACTAATCTTTGTTATATAATATTATTAGTAATTGATGAATTATGTATTGGTAATTGTCTAGAAAAAAATTATCAAAATAACAATTTAATCGATAAATTTAACAATACTTTTTTATACAATCTCTTATGGTCGTCTAAGATTCATCCTTTTATAGCGGTTGATAGAGTCAATTTACATAAGGTGAAAGATATATTGGTTCTTCTATTAAGGATAATTATATATTACCCTTTGGATAACAGCTTTTGACAGGTGTTTAGGTTCCTAAAGAAATGTTTCTTATTGGTGTAAATTGCATCTTTTCATAAATTAACGTGTGTAATAGTGTCTTTCATTTAATATTTGTTTTTTTTTCTTGTAGAAAATGAGTCGGACTTGAAGGTGAAAAGTGATTAAAAAATAAGTGAATCTCCAATTGTAGGAGCTTTTCACCACATGAATCCCGTACAGTTATACTCATGGTAAATGGGTCTCATTATCGTGCATAGATAAAAGACACGTGTCGAATTGATTTCTTCTGCATATATCATATTGTATTTGAACATAAATCATTTTTTTTCTATAAAAAAAAAGCCAAAAAAAGTCAATTTTCAATATGTATTAAAAAAAAAGGGCAATTCATTCATCGGATTGCTGTATGAGAATTAATTATGAAAGCTAACTTTTAAATTAGGGTATTGATGTGAGAAATGATAAATAACAAGAAAAAGAAAATCTTAAAAAAAATGAAGAGTTGGATGTTGATGTTAATGTGGAAGTCGATGATAGAAACCACGATTAATATAACAAGGATGGAAATTCTTGACATGAAAAGCGGGAAATAATCTCTTCTCCAAATGAAAACACCAATGCTTAGCGATCATAATGAATGTTGGTTGTTTCTCCGTTTAAGGAATGAAAAGAACCCAGGAAAACTATAGTAACAGTATCTAAGAAGTGTCCCACTTCCATAAATGCGTTTCCACTTTTGATTCACTATTTTGCAGATGACAGAAATCAAACACTACTAATTACTACCACATGATCACAAATGCATCAATCAACTGTGGCTTATCTCTGCTTTCCACCTTTTCCTAGTCTCCAATTTCGCACTCGATTAGAACAAATGAAAAGGAAAACACAGGACATTGGAAGTACCTTTCCCGCTAAATCTGGTGGTTTATTATATTTTATTGGTAGCCATCTTTGTCATTATATATGTTTTATATCTTCAAGATTATAGCTAACACAACAGCCAATGGTAAAAATTGGCCAAATGAACACTTGCTACTAAAAAAAAAAAACAGATTATGTTGATCGCATAATTTATGACTGTACATGTGAGATGACAAATGTGTGGGCTGCTTGATATGGCTTAACCTAGCCAAACCTACTACTGAAAATTTTATAGGATACTCCAATGATGGAAAAGCTTATGGGTCTAGCAATTGGCAACACATTCAGCACTTTGCGTATAGAAACCACAATAATTTGAAAGTCTTTCTATGCAGTCATTATTACTCAATGCAATGAACGGAATTTGATGACACAGTAACAGGTAGTATAATTTTGATACTCAATTCAGCCAATGATATATTTGTGGCGCAGGAAAATATTAAATGAAAACTTTTCGGGGACCTCTTGATGACGTTATAAGTCAGGCCACTACCAATCCCATCGTTCTTCGTGGCATATAATGACGCAATTTTATTGTCACTGTGTTGGGGCCGCGGACTTCATTTCATCACACCATTAATTCCTTCTTTTTTCCTTCCAGATCTAAAGTTGATGGTCATTGTTTTGTCTTGAAATTTATGAGAAATTATTACGTAGTTCGGTGTTTTGCTTTCATTTGTATCAAGGTAGACTCACAAATAGTTATTTTGATGGACCCCATATTTTTTGTGAGTATAAAAATAATGCATTACGAATATTTTTCTCCAAATTTAATCCTCTCTGTCTTTTCATCAGCTAGCGTTGAACCCATGACTGGAAATTACTACTGTTACGTTACCTGTCATGTTTTTAATTTCTTCAAGGAAAGTTAAATAGCCAGTTGTACAACTGCCAATTTCTTTCTTTCTTTTTTTCGGAATATGACATTGAGAGGATACGAATCGAGGCTGAATAATGTAGTGTGGCTTTTATCTAACAGGGACTGAGAAGAGTTCAAGGTGTCAATGTCAAAAACTGCCCCTCCATGAATTGTTAATCATAAACAACTCTTCTTTTTCCTCAATAATAAAACGTCTTGTATCTATATAATTGACACTGTGTTCAAATTCATTTTCGAGATGCCCAGTAGCATTTATATGTTGATGAAACTTGTCGGTCACCCCCAAGAGAGATACCTCCATCATTGAATTTCAATGATGGAGTGATTTAGCTCCAATGTCTTTGGTTTAATGGGGATCCAGTACAACTATATGTTTAATTTTTAGCTTCCCTTAATTGCTAAATATTATCGGGTAAATCCAAATTAACCATGGATCTAATTTGGCACTGTTATCTCTTCAATCCGGGTCTTAAGGCCCAGATTAGTGGGAACAAAAAATGAAGAAAAAAAAATATGGCACGTTGAGTATTCATATATTATTATATTTGGTTGTATGGTTTTTAAAATTGTAATATAATATATCATTACAATTGTGATGACTCATTA